ATAGTACTATAACTAGGCCCATAATTATCAAGACTGCCAGGTTCATCCTTAACGACTGGCTCTAACAGAGCAGACAATAATGGGTCTAGTCACAAGCCATGGATCAAACAAACAGCAAAATGTTAAATGCCTGATGATAAATATGATCTAACCCACATGTTTTATTATCTGGCCACTATGGCTATACACAAGCTGCTATAATGCTTTTGCCATGATTCTCCAATATAGTGTGCAATACGAAGGAAATTATGCTGCAATCACCACCTTACCTGTTCTACAATTCAATTTCAGCTCAGGTTACTTCGTGTGGCACGTCCTTCAGTTTTAAAAAAAAAAAATACTAGCTCACCCTGGCTCCCACACAACTTACATCAGCTAAAACGTTGTTCATGGGGCCCTCAAGGTAAAATAAACACAAAAAACAGCTTAAAACCTTCCCTGCTTTAAACCTGGTCATTAGTTTTATGTAACACATTTGTAAATATGGTAGTGTATCCTTATCTGTGTTGAGTTATCAAGTAAGATTAGTGTGAAATTAAAATTAGATGAATGAAAATGACCCATTTCTCTTCCACACCCAGGGCAGTGTTTCTGCGTCTGGTGAGTCTGGGCGTCCTCCTCTACACCCTGTGGAGTCAGATCACCTGCTACCCTAACGAGCTCAAAGGAAACTGTACACTGTGCGGGTACAACTACGATGAATTCCAAGTAATTATATTACTGATCTTCATTTTCAGAGTGTAACAGCGCGGAGGGGGTCCTATATGACAGACCTTCTGTTGTTTGTGTTTAAGTTGTCTGTCATGAGAAAAAGCAGTGCTTTCAGTTTGTTGCTGGATCAAGACTTTGCTGGGTAAATTAAACAGGATCCCTTGAAGGCTTCGACGTGCAAAAGAAAAACTGACAGAATAATTGAACTGGAAACTCATTTACACTCCGTTTGTATTTTAAAAAGTCATAAACAATAATGGTAAAGCATGTCAGGTTTTTCAGTAAATATTTTTTGATCTCTTGGGGAGAACAGTAGCAGCTCTGCGACTGCCTCGTTCCGCTGAAGGAGGCTTGAGTAAAATACAAAACGCGCTCTTTAACAGCTGCTATAACAGCCTGTGTGTGGAGACAAAGAGGTTAACACAACAGTAACATCAGCTTTGAATATATTCAGCATGTCCACACTGAAAGACAATCTTATCTTTTCTTATTGGTAGTGCTGGGAAACACGTGTGGGGCAGGAAATGTACAAGCTCACAATGTTTGACCTCCTCATCACCGTTGCTGTTTTTCTGCTGGTTGAATTTCCACGCAGGTACTTTTTATAGCATAAAGATATGAGTCGTATTAATGCACATCATGCAAATGCATGCTGTATATTTGAATACTGGTCAATCAGTCTTGTGTTCAGCTGTTTTTTTGTGTATGTGGTAGGCTTGTGGTGGATAACTGTTCCTGTAAGCCTGTTCAGTGGGTGGGGCGGCAGGAGTTTGTGGTTCCCTCCAATGTGCTTGGCCTGGTTTATGGTCAGACTGTGGTCTGGGTGGGAGCTCTTTTTTGCCCTCTGCTGCCCGCCATCAACACCTTGAAGTTTGTCATCCTGTTTTACTGCAAGAAGGTGAGGCTCTAGCTTTAACACCGCCAACACGTCACACATTGCTTGGTGATTGTGTCCCTAATCCACTATTAAATTGCCACTTTCCCCCCGCAGATAACACTCTTCCAAAACTGTCGGCCAGCGCTGAGGACGTTTCGTTCTACCACCTCCACCTTCTTTTTTCTGGTGGTGCTCCTGTTTGGATGGGGTTTGGCAACAGTTGTCTTGATTTACAGTCTCTCTGAGTGAGTGTTTCATACTTACCTGTAACAGTTGCAACACAACTGCTTTTTCTGCATCACTGTAAGAAAACTTGCTGGATCCTGTCACTGCTATAAACTTTGCATGAAAACATTTTTCATGTTATTTAACATTGCTGAGGACAAGTGTGTCCCTCTTCCTCAAACAGGATCCGTCCCTCTTACGGTTGTGGTCCTTTCCACTCATCCAGTACCATGTGGTCAACTGTTCCAGACTCATTCAACAATCTCTCTAACGTCACACAGGAGTTTCTCTTCTTCGTCGGCTCCCAGGCGTTCTCCATCCCTCTTTTTGCATTAGCAATGTGCGTGAACTCTCAGTATGCCATTTGTGTAATGATGACCTGCATATTAAATAGTCCTTACTGTCCATTTCATGGAGTAATATTATGTCTCTCTTCTCCCTGGCAGTGTGGTGATGTGCTATGTCGTAGCTTTAGCAACTGTCTATGGGAGAAGCATTGCACTGCTAAAAGCTCAGCTTAAACTGGTAAACTGCTTTATTATTATTACTATTATTATTATTACTATTATTATTATTATTATTATTAGATAAAGTCATGTACTTAAGGAAAAAGCCAAAGAAGGAAAGTAAATACACCCTCTTTCAATTGTTCAGGACATAGTAACAAAAAAAATCATCTGGTCCTTATCAGACTCTAACATGATGTATTACACCATGTGATTACTTAACAAAAATTATGCCAAAATGCAGAAGCGCTGTGTGACAAACTAGGTACAACTAGGTACACTTCCTGATTCAGTAGCTGTTAGAACTGTATGACTTTATTAGTCTCTCACATTGTTATGAAGGAATTTTGGCCCACCACAGCTTTTCAATATGTTTAAGGTTAGGAATTTGACTGGACAATTGCAGCACCTTGACTCTTTTCTTTGTCAACCATTCAGTTATAGATTTGCTGCTGTTCTTGGGATCACTGTCCTGCTGCATGACCCAAATTCAGCCAAGCTTTAGCTGTCAGACAGATGGTCTCATAGTTGACTCTAGAATACTTTGGTATACAGAAGAGTTTAAGGTTGACTCAATCACTGCAAAGTGCTCAGGTCCAGTGGGTGCAAATAACAAGCACAAATCATTACCCCTCCAGCACCGTGCTGGACAGTTGGTTTGAAATGTTTGTGCTGATATGCTGTGCCTGGTTTTCACCAAACATGATGCTACACATTATGGTCAAGGATCGCCACTTTGGTCTAAACTGAACAAAGGACATTGTTTCAGAAGTCTTAAGGTTTGTTTAGACTTAAGCTGTGTTGCCATGATTTACAGTAAATAGGCTTTCTCCTGGCAACCTTTCCAAACGAGCCAGTCTTTTTAAACTGTGCTATCAGTTTTCTACAACTGCTTCTGCATCATGTTTCAGTATTTGTTACAAAATGAAACAGTCTAATATATAATAACTTTCTGCTTGTATGTATTTGCATTAACTTCATTTTAAAACCTGCCGAGGATTAATATCATGTGTTGATAGGTAAAATCTTGGAATTCAAAGAGGATGTATTCACAGGCACTTTACAACAACTACACACAGTCCAGTCCAAATATACAAACCTATCTGCGTTAATTACCTTACAGTTTATAATGACCCTACAGTCCCGAAATTAAATGGTGATCTTTTATATACGTCATTAGGCTTCACTTTGAAACAGTAAGTTAAATGGTTTCCTGATTCTCACATGGACTTATGAGTTTTTGGTTTACAGGAGAGCCGTGACAAACAGTTCCTGATCAAGCAGATTGAGAGCCTGACTCGGCAAGCTCATATACCGACACATCATGCAGGAGTACAAGATTGAAAACGATATGGGCAAGGATCTACCGTCTTGAAAACAACATAATAAGACTTGTTTTTATGTTTATAATTTAATGCAGGCTAGGTTTTACCACACACGTCTGCACGAAGATAACTGTATTAAAAGTTGTGATTTTTTTAAAAGGAATACATAAAGAAGGAGAATTAAAACTTTATCGTTATTAGAGTATAACATTTCCAATATGTAAATAGATTAGTGCCTTTTCTGTCTGTCCTTCAAAGCAGATATTCTTTTCTTTACATAATAAAATAAAATGAGAAACATAACAGCCCCCTCTGCTGTCGCCATTGTGTTATTGCTTCAACGTGGAGCTACTGTTTACTTCCTGTTTGGGTCTGCCTGTTCCTGTGAGGTCCTGCTACCTGTCCAACAAGAAAAAAATCTTCACTCAACAAGTTGGTGACAGTGCCTGGGCCCTGTTTTAGAGAGTAAAATGTTAAAAAAATTATTGCTAAATTGGCGGAAATGTGATATCTATGCGTGGTGCTGAGTCCTTAAGGTAAAGTAGATGTGGAAAGTAGCAAACATCGGCTAACATTATCTCGTTAGCTCTGCCTCTTGGGAGGTCAAAGCTGCAAATATAAAGTTTGTTTTTGTATATTTATATATTTTTATTCTATTTTTCCGCTTTGGGGCATTGACGCATTTCCTTCCACAACTAGCGGCTTTATTTGGGGGAACTTATTCACGTTTTCCTTCCACTTTTGCCGCTGCTAGCCGACTGCTAACCTATAGTAGTAACAGCCGCCAAGGGAACAATGAACATCCTTCCGAAGAAGAGCTGGCATGTCCGCAACAAAGACAACGTCGCTCGAGTGCGGAGGGACGAGGCCCAGGCAGCAGAGGAGGAGCGCGAGGCCAAGCGTCGCGTGGAACGCGCGGAGCAAGAGGTGACTCCGGGTGGATGACCGTGGCGTGCTGTTACTGTACATACTTTTTGCTCTATTTCCCATGTAGTTTGAGCAGGATACCTCAAATTCAAACCAGATATGATCAGAAGCAAGGTTACTAACTTGAACAACATAAAAAAACGTACATTTATAATAAAAGTGTACAGTAAATGTCCTTTTTCAGTAGAGCCTACCTGAGATGCTCTTAGTCCAACCCTAGTTACAAAAAAGTTAGAATACTGTGTAAAGTGTTGCTGAAAACAGTGAGGATTTTTAAATTAAGTAAACCTAAATACAATATACCTTGAAGCACTGATGGTACCTTTCCAGATTTGCAAGCTGCCAGTTCCATAGGCACTAATGCACACGTTGTACCTTGAGAAACAGTTTCTACTGTGCCTCAGTCCATTTTGAATAGGCTTTGGCCCAGAGAAGGCAGCGTTTTTGTATCATGTTCACATATGGCTACTTTGAAGTGTAACAGTAATTTCTGGAAGTGTTCCTGAACCCATGCAGTGACTCCATGACAGAATCCTGCCTATTTTTACTGCACTGTTGCCTGTGTTGCCAAAAATCACAGGCATCTAGTATTGATATTCAAAGTCTTTGTAACTTTACATTTAGGAGCTTTATGCTGAAATTGGTACACAACTTGTAGACACAGTTTTTGCATACCCAGTCATGTTACTGAGCGGTTGGCAGTTAACTTAGTTGCAAAATATTCCTCTAGCTGTTTCCTTTTAGTTAAGCTTACTTTTCCAGCCTTTTGTTACCACTGTCCCAACTTTTTGAGATCTGTTGCTGCCAACAAAATCATTTAAAACATTGGTTATAAACAACAATAACAGTTGTGAATAAAAATTGCAAAATGCAATGCATTCTCTTTTTAATCTACATTTTGCACAATAAATAAATATCTAGAATATTAAAGCTTTTTATAATGGGATGGAAATCTAAAAAATAAATATATTAATAAGGCAGAATTTTTTTGAAATCAAATGTATTACAGAAAAGTTACCCAAAAAAAATAATGTCAGTACTGTACATTAAAGTAAAGGACAGGAAACATAAGATGACATTGAAGTAGCTCAGTATCACAGGGGGTAAAATGTAGTGGGCCGTGCAGAGCCGGAATAAAATGTTATCATGCGAGAACAGATTGTTCTCTGCTACACTTATGTGTTGCATTGCAGAGATTATTAGGGTTTTACTGTATTTAAAGAAGCTTTGAGCCCATCAGTGAGGGTTTTTTTTGCCATCCACTGTCACTAAAAATATTTTTAACCATTTTATTTAACTTACTAAAGCTTAAAATAAATTTTTGTTGATCAAATAGACAAAATGTATTGGAAAACATATAGACCTTTGATACGTTAAGTAACCCAGATGTCCAGAACCCCTTAAAAGGCCCACACTGAGACAGGAAACACCCTGTTTTTATGAAACAACAGAGTGAAAGCAGACTAAATATTAGCAACCACGTATGCATTATAATACGTAGAGTGTATGAGCATCAGATACTGTCCTTGTTGACTGCTGATTAGCATTGTTTCTCTGATGTGTCAGCTAACTTTTGTGCTGACTAAATGTTCAAACGGTGTAGTGATCTTTTCTTTATTTCCCCTGCCAAAAAAGGGTGGATAGTTAATGGTAAAAATATGTAATATACTAATTAAAAAACAAACAAGTTGTTATTTTAAACATCAGTATTGGTCCAGAGTTTTGCAATCACTGCATCCCTAATAGATCTCTCACTAGTGCACGCCTATCCTCTACAATTGTAAAAAACAACACATTTACTGTTGTATGCTGTCTTTTGTTAATATTTAAAAAAAAAAAAACAACACCTGGAAATCAATGCTAACATTTCCTGTGTGTTACTATTCAGATTGCTGTAAATGTACTGTACGTCTCTAAATTGGCACCAGTAGAAAACTTAAGTATTTATGATTTGAGTTTAGTTTTTTATTATGAAGGTTAAATAAGCTTTGCTGTGCCCATGAATGTCCTTTAATTGTTGTTCATTGTTTACAGGCACGTACAGAGTATCTGAGAAGGAAAGCCCGAGCTGCTCTTCAGCCAACAGGAGGAAGCAGAGATGATGGTGATGAGGAACAGGGTGGAGGAAGTGGAGCTCTGGAGCATCTCAATCTTTTCCCCCTGGAGGAGTCCTCGGAGAAGAAGGGGAATGAGGAGTATCTCAGGGAAAAGAAAGAAGAAAAGGTGTCCGTGCTGCTGCTTCTGTCAGTCTTCTCTTTCATGCTTTTCTTTTGCTCTGACGTAGCAGCTGAATGATAGCAAAGCTTTTGCAAGTTTGGTACCACATCTGGGTTCAGTGTCCTGCATGGTCTGTGGTTGCAGGTCCAGTGCTGAATACCATTTACATTTTCATTTTTTCCATTAAAAACCTTTAGTAGTTAGGAGTGGATCTGCAAAATCTTGCTTTTCAGCTCAGTCACAAAAATGCTAAATGCTTTGTATGTTTTTGAAATGTTGCCAGAGAAAAGACGATTCTTATCTAATCTCATCATTAGTGGGTGTAGTTTTCTCAGATGTCATTTGAGTGGTTTGTTATCACCACACTTTAAAAAGCAATGCAATCAGTTTAAATTTTTGTCTTGTTGTCATCATACCTGCTATTCTATTCTGCAGCCCAGTGCCAGTATGTATGCATGCAGCGTAAATAGATGCAGCATGAGACGGGTGGGAAATTAATTCAGACAGACAATATAAATACAAGTTAAAGCCCGTGGATGTGATCAAGGCTTTCCAATCACAGGTCAGAAAATGCCAAAATGCTGCTGATGGCAAAGCAGAGGCACTTTAGTACCATTTACATTTATTTAATGATTTGCTGAAGTATATTAGTTTATTGTGTGTCCTGTTTTAATGGCAGAGAATATTCATAACAGTTGTTGTGTTTTAGTTAATTAAAATTTTTTTGCTTCAGTAAATTCAGAACTCAACAGGAAGTTGAATTTTTGAAGTGGTGTGGTGGGAAACACATTGGTGCATAATGAGATACGCTACACTCAGGCTACGTCCACACTAATGCGTTGTCGTTTGAAAACGCATTGTTTTCTCTCTGTTTCGGCCTCCTGTCCACACTGAGACAGCGTTTTTGCTGATGGAAAACGCAGCATTTTGAAAACGCTCTCAAAAACATTTCTGGTTTCCTTGGTAACCTTTCATGTATATACATATGTGTATATGCACTACTTCCAAACACTTTGTATAAGCACTTTCTTTCTTTCAAGAACACCTACTAATTGTATGTCACGTTGCTGTATTGAGTGTTTGGATTTCAAAAGGGATATTGTCAGCCACCATTTATCACCTAATGCTGATTTCCTGTTGCCACTAGCTGTCGCGCTGACTTTGTGTAGATGTCTCCAGACTCGCTTCCAGGACGTCAAGCTCAGGACAGAGTGGACAGTGTACATTTGAGTTATAAGAGCTTTTTGTGGCAACTAATCAAAATTTGCTGAGCTGACATGGACGCACCAGACAACACAAACTCAAAAACTTCTTAGTTTGGCATTGCCAAGGTCTTTAGATTAAAGTTCTCTAAGAGGAGTTTGATAAAGTGTACTGCCTGAAAAAAAGCATTTTACATTTAAAACACTGGACTTCCTGTTGGGTTTAGAGCATGTCTCCAAGAGGCTTTTTTTCTAAATATTGCGGGTTTAAGTCAGGCTACAGAATTTCATACATGTAAGTGAAACTTGTTATTGTTTTTTTTTTTATATGTAGCACCAGAAACTATTTTTCCCACACCCACAGGCCAAACCTACAAAATACAAAAACTTTTACCAGTTTCGTACCTTTCAAACTTTCCTACCCCATCAACAACTTCCTGTTTTAACAATATGAAGCTAAGATAGAGACCAATCAAAAAGCAGTTCATCTGCTCTTCTAGACCTTTTCGACTTTAGCTTGGAATACAGTCGAGAGTATCAGGTCGCATTTTTTCCCACTGTTTTCCTTTATCACACAACAAGAAATAGTTTGCTTTTGACATCTTCCCACTGCTGGTTTTATGTGAGGGAGCTGCTCAAATAGCACACAGCATGCGGCACACATGATGCCTCAGACAGTTAGCTCTGCTATTTGCACTTAGGAACAAGTACTATGGAGCTCGTGGAAGGTTAAAGACAGGTTAATGTCCCGTCTGGCTACTCAGATATTTACATTCTCCTATCTGTTGGGTATTGTATAAACAAAACAAACACATGTATAAACAAAAAGTGTGCTACAGTAATGAAAAAAATAACACAAAATATTTGTTTTCTGTTGTTGTTTTTGTGGGGGGGGGTTTCTAGGAGAAGCAGGAAAGAGCCATTGGCTTACTGGTGTCATTGGGACCCCAGCCGGGGTCTGAGGTCA